GAGGCTGCAGGTAACATCACGTCGCCGCGCCTTAAGGCGTCCAGAGGCTCCCAGAAACAGCCCGGCGCTGCGCCATAAGGCGTCCAGAGCAGCGAAAAGGTTAAAGGTTATTCATAAACGTGATGACAAATTTTATACGAAATTGTTTAGTAGTTTAATTTATTTATTTGTATGGTGTTTAAGGAAGGAATACATTTTTTTTAAAATGATGGTTTAATACTTCAAAAAATAATTTACAACTTTGGAAACAAGTTCTTCAGTATTTTGTGAACTCTACCTTGGCATTCTTGAGATACTGGTGCTTCTTTCATGCATACTGATATGCTTGTGATGAACTTTATGCCCTTTTCCGATGTTGGAAGAGCTTTTTACCAAACCCTAGTCATTTTCATGATATTTATCTTTCTTAGTTGTAATAATTTTACCCTTCAATTTTTTTGAATTCCTCCCTCACCTTCTCTATCAGATTTGTATCCAGTGAGTTCCCAGGGCAGTCTAGGGGTTTTATGTTGTTTTTCTTGAGAAAATCTGTTCTTTTAGTGCTTTGTGAAAGAAGCCATACCGTGCAAGAACACAAAGTCATCCGGGAACTATTTTTTCTCCTGAAGAAAAAGATATTTCCTGTAGCACCTTCATGTATTCGTCATGATGCATGGTTCTTTGCACAAAGCAGATCCATCCTGTGCCGTGGCAGCTAATAACCAACCATAAAAGAACAGAAAGAGGATGTTTTATTTGTTTCACAATGCATTTCTTATTGTTCTTTACTTTACCCCTGTGTCGAATGAACTGTGTCTTGTCTTGCAAGACCTGAATTGAAGACTAGTTTAAGAAGCAAATCTGCACAATAATATTTTTAGAAGTTTTTGTTCTCGTTGGCTGGTTTAATTTTTTAAACACCTGACAAACCTTGTTCCAATCTTCTTCGATTCAATCCATTACTTTTTTGTAAAATTTAACCTCTTTTTCATCATTGCGGGTGTGAGTGAGTTTTCTCACTGGTCGACAACACTTAAGATACATTTTTAGAAACCTTCTGAGAGTCCGCTCTGATGGATGCACTCCAGTATCTTTGAGAATCATGTTTTCACAATTTTGTGGTTTCTGATGGTTTTCTAATGCATTTCGATGTATTTTCCGTTCAATTGTTGGTAAATAGATTATTTTCTGCCCCAATTTCCTACTCTCTTGATTCCTAAATCGACATCCATCTGAAGTTTTCTTTTGATATTTCAAACTGTTGACTGCGAAACTCCTTTCTAATTAGCAATCTCTCTTTGCTTGTACTTACAATGATGAATAATTATAGCAATTCGTTATTTGTTTCGTGGTGTGAGATCAAGACATTTATCCACGACCACTGAAATATTTTTTTTTAGGTTTATATTCATTTAGGTCATGTTCTTCACATTAAAATATATAATAATATATTAAATCGTGCAGTAAATTTCAAAATTACATTCTCTGTGGTATGATTGCATGAAATATGTGTGCTTACCTGACTAACAATACCAAAGAGAACAAGAATTTCAAAATAACTTCAATCAGCAATCATACGTCACATGCAACACACTATGTAAAAATTGTCATGGAAAAGTTATATGGTATGTTGACTAATGTTAGCAATATCGAAAATATTAATAATTGCATATATTTACAAAATAACAGTCAACAGTTAAAATAATAATTTAAAGAAACACCAAAATTAAAAAAAATAATGAATTTATCTTGAGTATAATAATTTGGCTACCCACAGTAAATATTTCAATATAAGAATGCTGCTGTTAGCTGGATTATTAAACAGTGAATAATTTTCACAATAAAAACACACGTGTAATATGTAAGTTTACTATATATTATGTGTTACACTGTAAGTTTTACATTTTAATTTCTTGCATAAAAATCCACAATTTATGTTTTTTAATGTAAAATATAGATTTAAATTTAATTGGTTTTAAGCAAAACGTTCATGCCATATCATGAATAAAAATAATTCAAATGCCTATTTGTGATAAAGCTCAGTCTAGAACAGGGCTGTTCAAGCAGAGCTATAGGGAGTGTGGAGCCGTCATGGCTACTGGGAGCACAACTCTGGAGGTGCAGAATTCTGCGGCTTGCGATAACCTGTCTCAGTGTCCCAATAACACCAGTTGCGGGAACATGGAAGTTGATCCCAGCACTTCTCAAACCGAAGCATTCACACCAAAAAGTTTCAATGTAGTATAGGAAGAAAAATATCTTTTTACATATTGCAGCAGCTATGCCAAATGTTTAGTTAGCAAAAAAGTGCTTATTCACATTAAATTTAATTTGCAATGACATTCACATCACGCAGCTGAATATGACAAGTACTCTGAAGATGAACGTATGAAACATTGCATTGCTATGAGAAATGATACTTTTCAAGAAGTAAGTTTTGGATATATTTTGATGTTCCTATATTGTTTTAACAGTAAAATAACACAATATAAAACATGTTAATTTCATTTTATTTAATACAGTCTCTTTGGAAAAGAAGAACCTCTCATTCTTCTCAAAATTAGCTTCAGTGTCAAACATTAATTTAACATTGAATTTTAGAGAGTATGTAGATGTATTCAGAACGTTGCATTCAGAATTTGGAACCCAATTGAAGGATTTGCTCGATTTACAATTAGAATTTAATACATTTGCTACCTCTTTTTCTCTTGATGTTGGCTTTGTTCCTTATGATTTTCCATTAAAAATGACAGATTTGCAATGTAACACTGAATTAAGAGGGAAATTTAAAACAAACAAAAAACAAACATTTATTATATTTTATGAAACGTCCCCCAAAAATATTATCCGATTTATTTTCCATATCCTTCCTTATCTTGACACATATATTATGAATGTGTTTATAAAATGAATATGGTTGCTATCATATTCACGTGAATGAAGATGTAAATTTTAACAACACTCACTAAAAATAGATAGCGCTCCTGATGATCTCCACTTCTTGCTGATATTTTCACTATTTTGCCTTCTTTTAACAATTCTCTGGTGGGACTTACTAAATCAACAACACCACTTATATTCTCCTGAATTTCAAGAAGTTGTTTAAATTTGTCTATCTTTTTCATAGCTTCATTGGCATGATTAGCAGCAGTAGACACTGAATGTAGAGCACCTATAAAAAAATAAAAAAAAGGTTTTAGTAATGTTCATTTATAAAAATGGTAAAGGTCAGATTTTCATAAAAATCTCTGAGTTTTAAAAAATGCAAAAGTTAAAAACTTTATAAACCCCTTCCTACGACTACATTACTGAGGATAACATTTTTTTAAATGAAAACTTTAGAAGTATTTTTTGCCTGATTTTGAATGAAAAAAGTTCACTCAAAATTACCATTACAATTAGTGATGCTCCAACAGCAGATACTTTCTAAGTAATGGCAACATGTAACTATACTACATGAACCTGCAGAAATATTTCCAACCAGCAAATTACTGGAGACTGGAACTTGGATCCTTTTTAGTTAATCAGCCAGGCACATTCACACTACATCACCAATTATATGTTTAAAGCAAACTTTACCAATGCTTAAAAAAGTAGTGATTTCTTGCATTATTTTTAACTTATGCACTTTTTGAAAATCCATAGTCCAATGAAAATGGGATCTGAACTGCTCTTTTTTAAACATCCTTTGCTTTATCCATGGAATAAATGTAAAGAAAAATAAAGAGCCATTTTTAAGAAACATTTTTTGTTATACATTTGCATTAGCTTCAAGCACTGTTATAATCTTTGTTTCTATTTTATAATTATTTACTGGATTCATGGTAATGCTGTTTCTACACAGATGTAACCACCCTGCCCCCCCAAATTGTAAAATGTCAAATTAGCTCCAGATTTATAGAACTTTAATAAATTATTTTACACACTTTCTGTATCTTCCCTGTCACGCGAATCATCAGGCAGTTTCTTGAGATATTCCTTCAGAAGAAGTTCGTAACGTGGTATTCTCTGAATGGGACTCAACATATGATGGGATAAAGTCAGTCCTCCACATTCAGGCATTTGCTGAAAAAAGGATAAATTATCATTACAATTTTATGAACAAGACGATTTCACCATTTCTATTGCATTTATCTCCCTATTAATAAGTCCAACATACAAATAATTTCAATATTTTAAATAAATCACCACACCGTACATGTTATTTACTTATTTATTCATTTAATTATTTGCAATACAATTTAAATAAAACCACAAATCTTCATTCTAAAAATTGGTGAGTTATCAATTCTTAATTTCAGACTGTCTAAATAAAATAAATTTTAATGGTTTGCACATAAAGAATTAAATTATTCATTTCCACAATTTCACAACCTATTTCATACTATTATTAGATAATTCATTAGATTATTAATCCAACTCTCAAATACTTCAGATAACTCACATGAATTTCATCCATAATAGCAGCAAATCTATGATTTTTTCCAACAAGGGCATTTATGATGTTCATTGCATTATCAAAATTTTTTATGTACTCAGTGTACATTTTGAGAAATGGTGTAAGGTCCTTCATGATATCACCTAAATGTAAAAGAATGGATTAATCATAAAATATTAACATATGTCAAAATATTTAAATGGATATAGTAATATGAGTATATATTTCATGGTCCATTTGTAAAAGGGCTTACCTATTCTCAATTCTTGTTCCCAATTAGCCATACGAGTTTCTAGTTGAGGCAACAGAAAATCATGGTGTAACTTGTAAATTGATTTTATATTTGAAAACATTTGAGGAATCATTTCTTGAGGAAACATTGGATGTGCTCTGTTTTCTTGATCAACACGAAAATGAAACACCTAAAATTAGATGAATTTATACATTAATTTTAATATTGATACATTTAACTTAATAAACAAGTTTAATAATTAAATTTAATTTTACCAATAAGTATATGTACAATATATAAAACACTGCCAGAGAAATATTAACTTAAATTTTAAATGTAATTTAAGAAAGTTTCTTTCAGGTCATGAATTTATTTGATTTGAAAACACAAACACACTTAACACTCGGCCTCTTCTAGCAGTTACATTAACTGTGATCATACGCATTTACAATGTGCACAGGGGGATGGGAGCATGGCCCCCTGAAACCTTTGAAAGGGGCACCTGGCCTAACATAAAAAAACATTTCATTTCCATATATACATTTATTATCTGCTTGAAATGACATAAAGAGTTTGCAGATACATTTTAAAATTTACAATAATTATGACAAAAGGATTGTTACCATATCTGTAATTTGTGTATTTTCGTTTAGATATAAAATATGAAAAGATACAGAAAATTAGCTTATTTGTTAAAGTCAGCACTTGTAATGCTGTATATTGACTTCATTTTTCCAACACTAAAATTGATTTTTTTTATTTATTTATAAGATTTTTAATTTTTACTATCTTGTCCTGTTCCATAAGAGGAGAAAGTATTGTAATTGTGTACTAGAAATTGGCAATTTTTCAACAGGAAAACTTATTGCTGGGCCTGGTAACGAAAAGGTGGTTTTTGTTTCTGTGTTTAGTAAATTACTTCCTCTAACACACTGAGAAGTCAGAATTCATATTCTGTGGGTCCTTGATACCCAAAATTGATTGATGGCAAAACATCTGTCTGGCTGTTTGTAGTCAAAGTTTTCAACTAGCAATGATGGATAGTTTTTGTATAATTGTGCATGAAGTATGGACAATTTTGTAACAAATATTTTCTACAAAACTCCAAATTTTTTCTTTAAATTTTTTTCTTCTTGTATAGCAAACTTCAAAAAACCAGTTCTGGTCCTATTTTGAGTGAACACTTTATTTTCGAAAATTTCAAAACATTAACATTACAGAAGTACAAAATTACTGAGAATTTTTCTTAAATAAAATCTGTTCTAAAATGTCTACAAACGGGTTGTAAGCTGCATTTGCTACAGAAACATTGAAATGGAACTAGAAGTTCTGAAGGAAGTAATTATATAACATAAAAGCATGCAAAACTATTGCAATTTAGTGCAAGTGGTACTGCGGATATTAATTTTTTTTTAAAAAAAAAGAGAGCGAGCGAGCGAGAGAGAGCGAGCGAGAGAGAGAGCGAGAGAGAGAGCGAGCGAGAGAGAGAGCGAGCGAGCGAGAGAGCGAGCGAGAGAGCGAGCGAGAGAGCGAGAGAGCGAGAGAGAGCGAGTAGTAGGTAGGTAGGAATTCCAAAGTACAAGAAAACATGCACAGATTGCACTTTTTGCCATAGTACGTCACTCACGTTTTTAACATTTTTTTTGATGTTCAATAAATAAAATAAAAAGATGGGGAAAAGTGACCCCAATTAAAGGTTGTGTCTCTTTACCAAAGCCAATGAATTTCATGCCAACATTTAAAGAGCTTCCCAAGAGGAGTAAATGCTTATAATGTGAATTATTGTAATTGATTTAGAAGTAATAACAGTCTTAGAATCAAGTTACAAATGGTAGTAGACTGAAATTCTGTTATTGACTTGTAAGTTGCAACAAGAGTGAATAACCTACTTCAGCTACTGCTTCAGAATTTAAAATTGAGAAGTTCACTAGTAGATATAGAAAAGTTTAGGTTTGGAGCAAGTTCTTTTACACATTTAACCATCAGCCTTTCCATAGTGTACTTGGGATTGTTAGGCAGTATTATGTAGTTTCATTAAGAGAGCATTGATCTCTTGAAGACTCTATATTAATCAAGTCTACTTTCTAATACCTAATCAAGTCTACTTTCATTGATGTGAACTACTACCACAAAGCTCAATAAAATATATTTAGTGTTCTTCTGTACAACAAATTACAAAACCATTCCTTGTAAAACATTGTTTGCACAATAAAAATATTATTTTTATTTCTTGTCCTTACTTTATAGGAGAAAAATTATAATTGTGCACAGGAAAAGAGCAAATTTTCGACAGAAAATATCTATTGTTGGACCCTGGTAATGAGAAACTGCATCTTGTTTCTATATCTAGTAAATTACTTCTTCTCGCAAGTTATGTATTCAGGATCCATGTTTTGTGGGTCCTTGATACCCAAAAATTGACTGATTGAAAACGTCTGTCCATGTGCCTGTGGTGCTTAAACCGTACAGCAGATTTTCTTCAAAATCGATATACCCTCATTGATTTAAATGAACACTAAGCCTTCTGAGTTTAAAATGGACATTTTGATTTTGGGGGTACCTCACATGAAGCCTCAACATTTTCAAAATTTTCTCAAAAATGGCCCCAAATGTTTGGATTTAATTTTGTCCTTGCCTTGTATAAAGAATGCTTAAGAGAATAGTGCAGGTCTCATTTTTGTTGAAATCCTTGTTTTTTGAAAATTGCAAAAGTTAAAAATAATTATCCAGCATTTTCCTGCAACTACAATAATGATGACATTTATTCATTAGTAAAATCTGTTATTAAAAAACAAATTTTGAAATAATATCATATACAATTTTTTGAAAGTATGACTAATATTTACATATTTTTGTATGAAATATCTGAAACTTAAAAATTTTTTTTAAAGAATTATTAAAAAAGCTCAAAAAATAACATCACATTTTTTCTTTAAATTTTCTCTTTATATGTATTCAATAAGATAATTGGTGCTAGTTTCATTTCCAGCAAATACACAATATATTTGAAAATTGGAAACAGTTAATATTTCAAAACTACGAAGATGGCAATTACGATTTTTGCCTTAAACAAAATCTGTTCTCAAAAATTAGCCCTTCATTCTCCCATAATTTCTGCCATTTATAAAAAATCACATTTTTTCTGTGGCTAAAACAAGGAACACTTAAAAGAATAGCACAGGTCTCATTTTCATTGAACTCTCTGAATTTTCAAATTGGCTAATTTACAAATAATACAAGAAAGTCTATGCTGTTGTGGCACCACTAGTTATAAATTGGAAACGACTTTAGTAAATGAAGTAATAAACAAAATTGAAGAAGAAATGTAAATTGCTATATTAGTACTTGGACCCAAGCAAATACTTCACACTTTGAAAATCAACAATAAAACTTGTAAAGCAACAATAAAAATATGGTTCTATATTTATTTTGTGTATCAAAAATTTTATCAAAATGTAATGGCGGTTGAGTAAAGAACATAAAACTACATAACATACTAAACAGAACAAGTAAACTTATGAAAAACAAGTTCCTACGGAATTCCAGCTTCCCTTTGAACTGACCTGATCAATAAGATGCAAGATTTGTACATAACTTCTCTCAGTTGTAAGAATTTCATTAGCCAAACGGTATGCCTTTTCTTTTCGATGATCTGGTGATGCTTCAATAGCAAGAATTGAGCTCTTTTCTCCATCACTTGTACAAATACTTGAAGTGTCAGTGCATTCACTGGGAGCAATACTTAAAGGACGAGGTGCCGGAAGACTAGGCCAATGTGACTGATCAGGACTATCATCGTCATCACTTTCCGATTCAGACACATCAAAGGTCTCTTGATAACTCCTAGAAACACATATTACAACAAAAGAAATTATCAAATATGTTCTAGTTCTTGGAAGTTATTTCCCATATGTGTAGCAGTTTGGTCGTTATGTTATCAATAAGATACTCTTTAAATGTACTGATACTATTGATTGACTGATATACTCTTATTTGAAAGCATAAATCAAAGGTTTAATAAAAGTAATTTTTTCAGAAATAGTTTTGCAATTACGGTTAAAAACCTATTAACAAGATACATAAATCGACTGTTCAGATTCAATATGTTTTTATTCCAATTCACAAATTACTGACACACACGACAAAAGCAAGTGAAAGCTACATAAGAGAATGATTGGCCCAGAGTACCCATGAGTTTTGGGAAGAAAGATGTCCAATCACTTCATATCAACTCTTGTTACAATTCAATGTGCACCAGATTACATTTCAGGCACTTTAACTCTTGGAAATTATTTTTATAGAAGTTCCAGCAAATATGGACTACCCCCACAACGTGCAACTACAGCAAACCATGGTCTTGAGATGATGGAGGCAGGAACAAACCACTATTAAAAACCAGAATGAGAATTGTTTTCAAATTAATTTCTTTCAAGAGCATTCAAAGTTTATTTTGTTTTATCCTTCGTTAGACTGATGTACGAAATAAGAAGTTAATTAACAGTAAATAATAATAAAAAATGTCTACCTTCCTAAGATCTGATGAATTATCTTCAGATATTATAGTAAAAATATTCCACTACTTTTTATCTTCCCTTGTACTTGAAATATTTTGAAATGCTTATTTGTTCCTACAGGATTACAATGAGCTTGATTCTTGTAAACTTGAAAATGACCTTTATTATCTTCCTTATGCTACCAATTTTTTATATCACTCTTTTTGATGATTGATTCTTCGAAATTTCATTCAGTAGAAATTGATGAATC